ATGTCCATGGCACTCATTATCCTGGGGTTTGGAATGCTGTAGATGCCATTTCTCAGTGCCAAAGTAAAACTCATGAACTATAACATTTTAAAATGAAAGTTTAAAAAGTTTTAAAAGAGGACCGTATTCTGTAAAAATTAATAAAATTCAATAAGCAGATTAGTTGTTGACACATATTAAAAATAATATGTGACAAGGATTGCTAGTTGCCTAAAATAACATTTAAAATTTTTATTTAAAGGACTGTGATAATAAAGGGAATTTTTTTGACAAGATAAAATACCTGTATAAGGGAATCCAATATTAAAGTAGCAACTGATTTCTCTTCATTATCTTGTTCAAAAAGAATTTCCACAACTGAATCTCTAATGGGATTTGAAAAAGAGAGCTTTCTGTTGGTGTCACATATTATTACACAGAATATACCATGATTTCCATTTACATAGTATTTTTAAGTACCAATACTACATTAACAAAGAGTAATTATTAAAATACAAGTTGTTCTCATTTGTAAATGGAAAGGATAACAATGCCTGCCTCAGGGGTTGAGGTGAAGATGCAATAAGTTAATAGAACAGGGTCTGCCTAAATTATTAGCTGTTACTATTATTATGTATACATTTACATTTATTTTGTATCCAATTATAACTCCCCAAACCTAAGAAAAGAAAAGAAATAGTATTCTATAATAATAAGATTCAACAAGCAGATTAGCTGGTGATACAAGAGATTTATAAGCAACCACCCCCCCCCATTTCTTTTTTAAAATAATACAAGGATCACCAGTTGCTTAGTAAAATATCCATTTTCCAATTTATTCTCAAATTAAAATAACTCTATTACTTTTTGGTAGCATGAGGAAGATCTTTGTGGTGATGAAAGAGTTCTATATGTTTAAAAAAATTATATATATTATATTTAAGGTATACAACATATTTTGATATATATATACACACACACAGTGAAGTAATTACTACATTCAAGCAAACTAACCTATCCATCACCTTCCGTAAGTAGTAAGAGCACCCAAAATCTATTCTTAGCAAAATTTCAGTATAGAATACAGTGTTACTAACTAAAGTCCTCATGCTGTACATTAGATCTCTAGGCTTATTCATCACTCACAACTACAAGTTTGTGTCCTTTGACCCTCTCCTCATTTCCTTCCCCTCTCAACTCCTAACAACCACTGTTTTACTCTCTGTTTCTAGATGTTTCACTTTTTTTAGATTCCACATATACAAGTGAGATCAAGCAGTAATTTTCTTTCTGTCTGGCAATAGTTCTGTATCTCCATTGTTGTAGTGACTGTAGAAATCTACATATGATAAAATAACACAGAACTAACATATACTTTATGCCAATGCCAATTTACTAGTTTTGGTATCATATTATAGTTATATAAGATGTTTAACCATTGGGAGAAACTGAAAGGGTATATGGGACCTCTCTGTATTATCTTTTACTACTGCCTGTTAATTTGTAGAATTTGAAAATAAGATAAAACTCAATTTTTAAGCTGGATATATTGTGCCTCCAACCCATCCCACTAGTTAAAACACTGTATTTACCAGCCTCTGGCCAGATGCAATGGCTCATGCCTATAATCCCAGCATTTCAGGAGGCTGAGGCAGTGCAGGGGAATGGCTTGAGGCCAGGAGTTCAAGACCAGCCTGAGAACCGGTCTCAGCATAGTGAGACCTCATCTCTTAAAAAAAAAAAAAACAGTCTTTCTTGCAACTAGATGTAGTTAAGTACCAGACAAGGAGATGGAGGCAGAAGTAATATGTCGGACTTTTTTTTTCCCTTTTGAGACAAAGAGTCTTGCTCTGTGCAATGGTGTGATCTCGCATCAGCCTCCCAGATTCAAGTGATTCTCATGTCTCAGCCTCCCAAGTAGCTGGGATTACAGGTCTGTGCCACCACACCCAGCTAATTTTTTGTATATTTTCAGTAGAGGTGGGGTTTCACCATGTTGGCCAGGTTGGTCTCGAACTCCTGGCCTCAAGCGACCTGCCTGCCTCAGCCTCCCCAAAGTGTTGGGATTATTGGCATGAGCCACCGCACCCAGCCTATGTTGGACTTTTAATTAAAGAGTTAAGCACTTTCTTCTTTCCCTTCTTAGGACTACTTGCTTGAAACAAAAACATGGTAGCTACAACTCCAGCAGCCATCCTGGACCTCAAGGACAAGGGCTACATCCCGAAGATGATAGATGGAAAGATGTTTGGGTCTCTGAGACGATAATATCATCCCTGGATGATCTACCTCTGAACTTCTTTTCTTTTAATTTCACATTTTTTGAGATAGGGTCTTGCCCTGTTGCCCAAGCTGGAGTGTAATGGCACAATCTTGGCTCACCGCAACCTCTGCATCCCAGGCTCAAGCAATCCAACAGCACTGGCATCCCAAGGTGCTGGGATTACAGGTGTAAGCCACTGTGCCCAGCCTTGAACTTCTTTTAAATGAGAGATAAACTTCTAACTTGTTGAAGACACTATTTTCAGGTTTGTATAACTGTGGCCAAACCAAATCCTAACCAATACAATACAAAATTAACTATGCACATACAGGTATAAACTCTATTTTTTATAAAATCGGGATATTATGCATAACTATTTTAAAGTGTTTAAAAATTCTTTTCAAAACAAAATCCTCTTCATGAGACTCAATCTACTAGCTAATTCTTTCCACTTCACCACTAAAGTATACTAACTGAGGCCTACAGTACACTGAACAGGCATAGCTGGTCAGGCCCTTGCCACTATGCCTGCAGACTTCTTCCACCAGTTAAGCTGCATGCTTACAAAGATCCACTCTTCTATTTCCAAATCTTTTGTCAGGTGATTTGATATTAAAATTATATAACTTAACAATTATTACTTAACCAATGAAATATTAACGTAGAAAACAAGTTGTTCTTTCCATGAATGTGAAAGCTTTGGAACGACAAGTTAGTTTTTAAAAATATTTGTAACATAGGTGAGACAACTGTAAAAGTCTAGAAGAAAATAACTAGATGGATTCTGTAAATAGTAGAGATGGGGTTTCACCGTGTTGGCCAGGCTGGTGTCAAACTCCTGACTTTAAGTGATCCGCCCGCCTTGGCCTACCAAAATGCTGGAATTACAGGCATGAGCCACCACGCCCAGCCAACTAGATGGATTCTGTACCAAGACTGATTCCTAGTAACTTTAAGCTCTTACTGTACTTATAAAAAGAACAAAAAAGCAGGAAATCATAAATTATGATTTACTGGTTATTATAATTTTAAGTCAGAACTCTATAAGTAGACTTAGCCTCAAAGAATAGGTCTTGGAAAAACATAAATACACACAAAATTTAAGTTAAAATAAAATGTTTAGTATATGATTTTTTATAATGGTCCTTTACTTTAAATAACCAAATAACCCTTCTTTTGCTTTACCAACCAACTACTGGTCAGTATTGTGTCTAATTAGAAGGTTTCAATGGAACTATACCTTTTGGCAGAAACAACATGTTAGGCTGGGCACAGTGGCTCACACCTGTAATCCCAGCATTTTAGGAGGCCAAGGCAGGCGGATCACCTGAGGTCAGGAGTTCGAGACCAGCTTGACTAACATGGAGAAATCTCGTCTCTACTAAAAATACAAAAATTAGCTGGGTGTGGTATGCATGCCTGTAATCCCAGCTACTCAGGAGGCTGAGGCAGAAGAATTGCTTGAACCCGGGAGGCAGAGGTTGTGGTGAGCTAAGATTGCACCATTGCACTCCAGCCTGGGCAACAAGAGCGAAACTCC